GGGAAGATGCCATGAATTACTTGGAGTTGGTAAGACATATGACCCAATGTTGCTTCTGTTTCCATCACAGGCTTTGGACTTCTTGTTGCTGATATTTGCAGTTGCAGTGGTAGCTTGGGGGGATCATGAGGCCCCACTCCTCCTTGGCCTCAGTGCCAGTTGGTTGCCATGGCATCAGGAGAATGGCCTGGCTGAACCAGAATCAAGCTTCCTTGGCAGGAGTCCAATGCACAGGGTCTCTCTGCAAGAGGCCCTCACTATCCTTCCCAGTAGCATGCTGCTTCTGCTGCAGAAAGAGCCATGGAAGGAACAAACCCAGAAGGTGAGGTTGGCAGCCACCTGCTTAGCAGGGCAGGCTGGCTTTTGTCTTCAGAAGTTCTTGCTGTAGAGTTGAGGTGGGAGTTAAGTGACACGTGCACTACACCACAGGCTTTCATTCTCAGCCCCAGATCTTTGCCAGATTCAGTCTCAGACTGAGTCCAGCCCAGGTTCAGGGTACCTACTGATTAGAGAAAACAATAGCAAGAACTTTCTTGGGGATGTGGGGAGAGAAAATCTCTCATTTTCATTCATTTACTGAAGACTCTTGAACCTGGCAATGAAAGGATAAGTAATTCTTCACTCAGAATCTCAATGTGAGGACAGGCAGGAAGGCAAATTTAAGATTCAGGATGGTACCATTTGTGGGATATCATGGTAATCAGCAAGGAAGGGAGGTAATGAACAATGCAACAATGCTGGGTCAGAGAACTCTTCCTCAGGGAGATGTGGGTCTGGACCACCTATCATATTTGAGGTTCCCTATAGCTCACTCCATCTCCCAGGCACGTTGCATATACTCATGTGGTAGATGCCAAATGGAGTTTTGTTAAGGTCTACTATCATCACCCTTGTCCTCAGAAAAACCCAAACTATAGGAAACACCTTTGGCTTTTAATACTAAGACTCCCCAGGCAACTAGCACAACATGGGAAAATACTGTGCTTCCTATACTTTTTATATGGCTTTGTCCCATCTTTAATACAGTGGTTTGAAAGATTCTTTGAATCTCATTTAGTCAAAACTGGGTTTTGATGAGGTGGAAAGCTTAAAAGTAACTTTTTTGTTGCTTATTCTTTAAATCAACATTAATCTTTAAAAACATTTCTGAACTTTGAACCCACAGTTTAGCCATATATATCTCCACTGAGCATCTCAAACTAAAATGCCTTTTCCCCCTTAAATCTGATAAGCATTGCAATTGCTGCCCAAATTTTGTATTTTATGTTCACTTAAAATAAATTTAAGTGTGGTCTCCCCTCATATTATTTCTGGACTGGGAGACTGTGTTAACTTTGGACTACAGAGTGGACATCTTGCATTGATTATATATTTGTAGGGCTTGATTTATTTACTTACAAGTAGGATATTATAAAACAAAATTTTGAAAGGAAAATAAAGAAAAATTTTTAATTAAAGCATGGAATTAGGGTTATTTTCTCTATTTTGCTTTCTTCAACCCAACTTCTCATGTCTGAGGTTAAAGTGTCTTGTATTTGTCACTAATGGTATATGTGTTTTTCAGCAAACCAAGATTGATAATATTCAGTCATTGTTGAAATCATCTTGTAGCTAATTCAAAGACAATTTTGACTGCATCTTGGGAAATCAGTCAAACTAATGAGTACTATGAGTTTCAACCTCATTTGTAGGATTTATTCACAGTTAACATGCTTGGCTCTACCTAAATTATTTTATGCTTTTTCTCTTGCATTTCAGCCTCCATTTCATATTCATTTGGATACATAACTGTTGTCATCTATAGAAACATTTTGTTTCAGAAACTGGGGCTTCTATCTAATATGTTCCCTAAACACTGTCCAACCAAGGCACCTAGGCTGAAACACACAGGGGACCTGTGGGAGGCAGCCTGATGCAAAGAGGCACATGGAGCTTAGGAGCTAGGTGTGCTCTGGTGCAAATCTTGACTCTTTTGTTCACTGGGAGTGAACTTGGGTGAGGGTATTAATCTCTCTGGGCCTCTCAGAGTGATTAGAGATAATGTTTGTGGCACATGTCTACTCCACTCTTAAAACCTATCCCTGATCTTAGGATATTCAGCAAGGGAAGTAGGCTTAGCTTTGTGAGGTCTTTTGACTAAATGGGAACTGTGTTCAAATCTTGTGCTTGGCTCCTCTCTCATCTCTGCACCCTTAGCCCAGACAGGAATCACCTAAAGACTACTGTACTTGCAATCATGTATGCAGCCCCAGGGGACTGACAGCTCATGCTGACAATGGGATTTTGTTGGCTAAAAATTTTTTTTTTCCACCCTAGTTCATTGACTGGCTATTCAGCATCATGGAAAGTCCTAAAGAAGCTCTCTCGGCAAAGTCCAAGGATCTTTTAAAAGGTATTAAGAGGCTTTGTTCCCAGCATAGGTGAAAACCACCCACTGTTGTCTGTGATGCAGAATGGTGTAAACATAGTATATATTGGGGCTGGGGATGTGGCTCAAGTGGTAGCGCGCTCGCCTGCCATGCGTGCGACCCGGGTTCGATCCTCAGCACCACATACCAACAAAGATGTTGTGTCCGCCGAGAACTAAACAATAAATATTGAAAATTCTCTCTCTCTCTATCTCCTCTCTCGCTCTCTCTTTAAAAAAAAAAAAAAAAAAAAAAAAAACATAGTATATATTGAATTCTGAAAGGGCTCATGGATCACTGATGTGACATTTTGAACCAGAATATGAGTTTAAAAAAAAAAAGTTCCAGCACTTTTAACTTTGGGTTAAATGGTTTTTAAATGTTTTACTATAATGGTAAAACAAAATTTTTAATTAAAATTTGGAAAATTCAGAAAAGTAAAAGACCAAAGAAAATTCCAGAGTCCTACTGCCCAAAGACAATTCTGATAATTTCTGTAGGAAGTTTTTGTACCCTTCCACATTCAGTATTTTAATATGTTTATAATTTTATACTATTGAAAAAATAATTTGAATAGGATTTAATTTCTTTACCATTTTTTAAAAGCATTTAAACTTCTTGTTACACTGGAGTCATAAATAGTAGTAATGGCTACATGGTATTTTGCCAAGGGAACTAGCCCTTTCCCATACTATCAGGCATTTAGATGTTTTGTGTCTTTTGTTCTTCTGCTGACTTTGCCCCACTGACTGTAGGACCCCCAAACACGGAAGATCTTTCTGAAAATTGTGAGGATTCTTTTACACAAATCTAAGAAGTCATTTGGGCATTGGTCTTGTGGCCTGAGTAGGCTGTAGTTGTCACCCATGTCATAGGACTTGAGTGTCTAGAGCCAGTAGCTGCTACTGGTGTCCTTGGCCATCCTGTAAGATACTGCACTGAAAAGCCTCATTTCTGCTGGCCTGCTCTGTGATAATTTCACTAGCCAACCTGGAGGCATAGCGTGACCCATATTTTATTTTAAGTATGGTATAAGAATTCATTGGTTCTGGTCCTTTGGGATAAGGACCAGCAAAGTGGTCCCACCAGTAAGTGGTTGGGAAGCACGTAGATGATGGAATGAGACCTCCACATGACTGTGACAAAACAAAGAACTTTTGACAATCAGGACTGTGATCTGACATCATTTGATCCATCAATAGAGACTTGTCCTTAGGACTTCTGTTTGCCTCATTTTTAATGGCTATAGAGCCATTATACTGTGGGATGCTCCACATATATACTCTTAGGTTACAGAATTAACAGATGAATAACCAATGAGGAAAACAGTCATGTGGTTTAGGGACACATGTGTTCACTGATGAGATAGTCCTGGGCTTAGTGGAGCCACATAATAGTTGTGTAACTGGCTTACCTACCTACGTTCCTTCACATTGTCATATTTTAAATAGCATTTCAGGGTATTTGAATTAATATTCTAAAATAAGGTATACAGTAGGTTACCCAAAGAGATCATTACAATTTCTCTGCTTTAAATTAACCCCTGAGGGACCCAGGGCAAATCAGAAATAGTAGAGCTCATGAGTGCATGTACAAATATAATTTAGCATAGACCTGTTTGTTCCATTGAGCATATGAACTCGACTTTATTATAGGAATGGGGATTTGGGTTTTCATCTTTAATTAAACATTTAGTGGTGATTATCATATTCATGTAGAAAAAGAGTACAAATCTTAAGTAGATTTTTATAAGAAAACACACCCATGTAATAAACAGCACTCAGAGGAAATTGCCAGCATCTCACCAGGTTGTTGTTTTTTTGTTTTTTTTCGGGGGGGGGGGCGGCAAAATTTCCCACTGATTATAGGTTAACTTAAACCAAAAAAAAAACCCAACTTTTCACCAACCTTAAAATTGTTTTCCACCATTGACATTTTGCCAGATCTTGATGGGAATTCTTAAGTCTTGAAAATTAGCCAAGTGAGAAAAAGCCAATGTCTGTTCTGATATCTTTTTTATCAAAATGACCTTTTCAGATGTAGTGCCACCAAATACACATGGGTTTGTTTTGTTGTTTCCTTTTAGCTACCCTGCTGTCCTTGAGAGTCCTCCCAGAGTTTAAGAAGAAAGCCGTATGGACCAGAGCTTATGGCTGGTGAACAGCTTTGCAGTAGCTAGCAGCATTCTCAGCTGGATGAGGCAAATCATAGAAATGGAAGGAGTTCTTAAGAATTCATGTCTGGGATCGGTGAGATATTGATCCTCACAGTGAAGGGTCATGAAATGGTGGCCACATACCTGAAGCTTGCCATATTCATTGCCAGGAGGAGGGTACATCATTTTGTTACCCAGGCAAGACTGAAACAGGAACATGAATTTTCTTTATTTGACTGGAGTTCAATGTGAAGATTTTCTTTTTGACAACTTGACTCTACCTTCTTCTATCCCCTCAATTCTAGTAAAATATTCTTGTGAATTTTGTGCATGTGACTTTTATTTGTCTTAAGGCATGGGGGAAGGTTTTGCCAACCAAAGCAAACTATAGTGGTAACAGTGGTGTTATGATCTGATTTCCATGAAGTCTAAGTAGATGATATTCATTGACTTAGACAAGTTTTATTACTATTGATAAATATTTTGGAACTGCTATACACATTTAAATAATAAGCATGACACCGAATATTAGCTAAATTAATTATTAGTGAGGGCTATATTTCCTTATGCTTTGTTCCTTTTAATGCAAGCAAAAGTTATCCAGTTCAAAATAAATCAGCCAAAAAGGTGAATATTAGTTCACAAACCAAGAAATTTTAGATCTAATGAGTAGCAGTTGCATCCAGTGAATCAAATGGTGCCATCAGACTTTGTTCTTCTTGGGATGCTTCTACATCCCTGGCAAGATGGCTGCCATCTTGCCAAAGGTAAGGAAAAGTGTCTTTGCCCACAGGTGTGGCAAAAGCAACATGGGGAGAAGTTGCTTCATTCCATGTCACATGTGAGTCTCTGAACAAGTGTTTGGTCCCTGGGAAGTAGAGCACTGTCATTGGCCAAGCTTAAGTCATAAGTCTACTTATCTTTAGATCCCTGCACAAAGAGAAGAGGCGGCCCACCCAGACCGTGTGAACTGTATTTCTTCAGGATGCTGGGTAGGCAGAAAATGGCAAATGTCTCCTCTAATTTTTTTTTTTTTAACAAGTACAAATTTCTTAGGGCGACTAGTGGTCTAAAGAAAATGAAGGTTTGTGACAGTGTCATCAAGGATTGCAATTTATTCAATGGCTTGTCTGCTAACTATCCTTTTTTCACACAACCATTAATCAGGGTTCTATCTCTAGGCAATCATACACATACTGATACATCTATGAGATAATTGGGAATAAAAATTATGCCACTGAAAATATGTACCTTTGTATCTGTCATACCAAAGCATAGTACAGTGGCTGGTGCTCCACAAGTGCCATGAACTTCTAGTATTCCCATGTGGCTTGTACTTTCATGTTGTCACCAAGTGTACCTGCCACCTATGTTGAAAATAGTCCTACTAGTTTTGTTTAGCAAATCTATTATTTCCTTAGAGGTTGAGCTAGAGGGAAATGAATGTAAAAAGCAAGAAGGTAGAAAATTTAGATTGGAAGCTAGCTTTCTCCTTCCCACCCACATACACTGTCTCATACTACTGTTACAGGTTGAAATTCATCTAGCATTTACTGTTGGGTGCCAGACTGTAAGTACACTTGTATTGGTTTATTTCACTCTTGCAGCAATACCATAAGGAGATATTGTTTTCTATTTTTAAAAAAATACAGTAAACACATCCAGGAAGTGGCAGTCTCACCTCTAGCCAAGTTCCTAGAGCTGAAATCATTTTGGATCTTGGGTTCTATCAGGCTTATTAGCTTCCTCTTCAAGATGCAAACTCCCATCAAATCAAATCCCATTAAATCTGTTTCATGCTTACTGTAAGATTGGTGCACTCAAAAGAAACAACTCTATCTTATATTACCAGACCTCTGGAAGTGGGAAGTTTAGAGTTGTGGTACAAAGGTGTAGGACTTTAGATTTCTGGATCATTTTGTAAATAGAGGTGGCAAACTCAGATTGCTCTTTTCCTTTCAGCTGTTTCTTTTCAAACCTTGTCCCTCCCTGCTCCTGTCCTTGATAAGAAAACAAGGATACAAAAGAGAAAAAATAAGATATCCCTATCTTCTCTTCCCCAGCTCCCTTTTTTGTTTTTGAGCAGACTTGGATGGAAGATTCATGGTATTTTCTTATTCATGGAAACCTCAAAGGTTGTAAATTTGAAAGTACAAACATTCTAAGATATAGGTCACTGAAATAATAAGACCCTTCTTCTTCATTATCTGTATGACCTCAGGTAAGAATTAATTATTCCCTCAAGATATTTTGGTTTGCTCTCTAGAAACCAGAAGTCTCTGCTTTTTTAAACCAGATGTTCCTTACTATACACAAAAGGAAATTTAACTTACAAGTCATCTTCTGTTAGTTTTTGAAAACACAAATGCCAAGAGAAATAGCATGCAGGGATATACTAACAAATTAATGTGGGGTTAAAGCCATGTTATGTTTCTCAAAAGTATCCAAACATTCTGACTCTTGATTTAAAAAGTGTACATTTGGAACAGATGTTGGGATCCATGCAAGTACCTAAAATCTTCTGTTTTATTTGTAATGGAATGGCTCCATGGTAACTAAGAGGCTATTAATAACTTTTTTTGAAGTCATTTGCTAGAAGTTAGCTTCTCTCGGAATGCTAGTATTTGGAGGTGAGGCCTGTGAGAAGTAAGTAGATACGGGTGCGGAGCCCTCATGAATGGAATTAGTAAGCTTACAAGAGACATGGGAGAGATACTTGCTTTCTCTACCATGTGGAGATACAGCAAGAAACCATCCATCTGCAAACCCCAAAGAAGGAGTTGTTATCCTGGAATCTCACCAGGAACTGAATGAACTGGCACCTTGATATTGAACTTCTTAGCCTCCAGAGTTGGAGAAACCTATTTCTATTGTTTAAGTCACCCAGTGTACAGTATTTTGTTATTGTAACCAAATCTATGATACACCAAGAAGCAGGTGCTGTTATACCAAATATATAAAAATTTAGAAGTATCTTTGAAGTTAAGTAATGAGTAGAGACTAGAAGAGTTTCAAGATGCATGATAGGAAAAACTGCTAATACTGTTTAGGAATTGACACAGGTGATTTGGGTGAGGGCTAACAGAAAATAGAAGAAATCTGGAAAGAAAGTGCAATCTTGGAGAATACATAAATTATCATGAAGAGAACACTGACAGAAATAAGAATAGTAAATGCCATTTGGATGAGGTGGTAGATGGTAATGAGGAACATGTTATTGCAAACTGGAAGAAATGGAATCTTTGTCATAAAGTGGCAAGTAACTTGGCTGGATTGTGTCCACGTTCTAGTGTTTTGTGAAAGGTGAGACATGTGGGCAATGAACTGGATATTTAGCTGAGGAGCTCTCTAAGCAAACTGTTGAAGTGATTTGGTTATCCTTCTACTGCCTGAATTAAAATATGAAAGTAATGCATTGAGGACAGAATTATCAACCAAAAAGAAGCGTTTAAAGATTTTGAAAATTCTGAGCTCCATTCATATTACAAAAAATAAGAAAATATGTTCTAAAGAGAACACTGAGGGTGTGATAGGAGACCATTCAATAGAGTTTAGTGTGGGTGTGAACTGCAGATGTAATCAGTTACCAGCACTGCTAGTTTGAACTGAAGGGAATGGAGATGAGACAAAGGGAAGGTTGGTTTTGGATGATTTGGATTTTACAGGAGACCATAGAGTTCATCAGCTGTGAATGTAGACCAGGGAAGAAGGACCCTAAAGGTGATTCATCTGCCAGGAGCCACAAGACTGAGACCATCCAAAGCTGTGAGGACCCGGCCTTCCCCAACAGAGATGGATAAGACGTCTCCCCAGTGGGTCCTGAAGGCAGAGCAGGAAGTCGAAGATCACTCCTGAGCCCTCAGATCTCAGAGTTTGTCTTGCTAGGGTTTGAACCTACTGGGGACCTGTTGCCCCTTTCTTCCCACCGAGTCTCCCTTTGGAAATGGGAATGTCTGTACAGTGCCCATCCAATCATTACATTTTGGTAGCACATAATTTATTTGAAAAAAAGTTTGCCTCGGGATGAATTATACCTGAGTCTCATTTTACTCTGATTTAGAAGATAACTTAGATAAAACTTTAGACTTTGCAGGAATGAATTAGGTTTTAGGGGCTGTTGGGATAGAAGGAATGTATTTCACTTATAAGAAGAACATAAATTTTGTGAAGTCAGGTGCAAAATGCTATAGACTGAATCTGTGTTTCCCTAAAATTCCTGTATTAGGCCCTAACCCTCAACGCAACAATACCTGGATGTGGAGCCTTGGGGAAGCAGTTCTTTGATTAGGGTGGAACCCTCCCAAATAGGATAAATATCATTATAAGAGGAGTTGTGAGACAGTGGTCTGTCTTGTGAAAAAAAAAAAAAAGGCATCCATCTATAAACCAAGAAGTCCTCACTAGGAACAGAAATCTTGGACTTCTAAAACTCCAGAACCATGAGAAAAACATTTATTTAAGCCACCCAGATTGAGGCTTTTGTTATCGCAGCCTGAGAAGGCTAACATAGGCCTTGGAAAGATGTTTAATTTTCAATGTGTAGCTAGTATGTATGGTGGGTACTGACATTTGGGGACAAAGACATTTGTCCATGAAGTACATTATTCTAGATGAGGACAGAGTGTATTTTATAGTGCTCTCCTACAGATCTGCTGCTATTTGGCAATCAGAAGTGAGAAGGAATACATGTAATTTAGGTTATCAAGTCTGGTTTCTCAATTTAACTGAACTTAATTCCATTAATTTCCTTTTTCTCATTAACCTTACAGTGAAACAATCAGACTTCGCCCAATATAAATGTAACTTGTATAAAAACCACAGTTTGGGGAAAACAGGGTATGCAGAGTTCACGTTTTGGAAATACAGTGAGTGATAAACAGACTGCTGTTGTGTGTAGAGTTGGGGGTGTGTGATTATGTTATGTCATGGGTTTTTGTCAAGTACTGGGTATTTTCCACTAGAATACTTCCTGTGTTGTAGTTGCTGCAGCCAAGTCCACGAGCCTGTCTTTTCTCAGGTCACATTGGAATGCTGTACTTCATATTTTCTTCTTCTTAATGGAAAAGACTCTGAGGACATCTCTTCTTTCTGAGTAAAGATGACTGTAGGTAAAATACATGCCTAAGGTGGACAGGAAAGTGGCAAAAGTAAGTAAGGTTGATTAACCATTTCTCTGGAAAGAACCCTGACTTGATAACAGAGTGCTTCCCAAGTCCAGGGAGCCACTTATGAGGGAGACTTGGAGGAGGAACACGTAAGGACGTGTCCAGATTTTATGCAGAAAGGGAGTAAGTCAAACTCTTCCATCCTACTGTTTTATTTCAATACAGGGAGTATTTTTCCTTTTTGTGGGAGGTAGTTCTCTTTACTCTGAAGTTGTATCTTTGCCTTTTCTCTGTATGTGGTGTTCTTGTATCTGATCTCTATTGCCTTCCAGAGATGATCATTATTTTGAGAATTTGTGAAGGTTAGCTCTGGGGAAATGTAAATTTAATAATGTAACTCTTTTCCCTAATTTCCTGGAAAACAAATTAATTCAAAAAATTTCAACTACTTTTTATTAATCCAGAGTATATTTTATTTACATAGCATAGCTTTACTCTTTAATCTCAAGTTTCCTGCAAATGTATTAGACTTTTAAAAAATTTTATTACTTGTATATATTAATGGGTTCAGTGATGTTTCCACACCATGCATACAGTGCACACTGATCATATCCAGCTACCCTTCTACCCATGACGCGCTCTCCACCATGGTCACCCTTCCCAGTCACTGATAATCACTATCCTATTTTCAGGTTGACTTAAAAAGTTTCTACATTTTGAGAGAAAACACAAATACTTGTCTGCCTATGGCTTATTTTGCTTAACATGTCCTCCAATACCATCATTTTTTTCTGCAACTGTCAGAACTTCATTTTTCTTAGCTGAATAATATTCCTGTGTATATGTGTACTTTTTTATCTACTTATCTATGAATGCCCACCTAGGCTTATTTCATGTGTTTGCTATTATGAATAGCACCACAATAAACATGGGCATGCAAGTATCTCTTTTGTATGCTAACTTCCTTTCAATATATACTGTTCTCCGTAGTCATTCCTAATAACAGCATATGAGAGTTTTTGTTTCCTTCACTTTCTCACTAGCATGTGTTTGTTTTGTTTATAATTGTCATTCTAACTGGGGTGAGATGGTATTATGGTATTTCCCTGATGGATGGTGATATTGAGCATGATTTTTCATGTATTTCTTCTTTTGAGATGTTCAGATCATTTGCCATATTTAATTGATTTGCTTTTTACATTAAGACTTCTGAGTTCTTTATACATTCTGGATATTAAACCTCTGTCAGATGAATAGCTGGCAAATATTCTTTTTCCATTCTGTACATTGACTCTTCATGGTTGATTGCTGTGCTACAGTTTTTGACTTGGATGTAATCCCATGTGTCAATATCTGCTTTTCTTTCAAATCTTATCCAGAAAATCATTATATGTACCAATAGCTTGAAGTGGCTCCCTGGGTTTCTAAGTAGAAGTTTCAGAGTTTCAAGTCTTACACTAAGGTCTTTAATTCATTTTAAGTCAATTTTTGTGCAGGGTGAAAGATAGGGATTCTGTATGTGTATATCCAGTTTTCCCAGCACCATTTGTTGAAGAGGTTGTACCTCCTCCAATATATGTTTTTAGCACCTTTGTTAAGATTCCACTGGCTGTAAATGTGTAGGTTTATTTCTGTGTTCTCTGTTCCATTGGTATATGTTTTCATGCCAAACCCATGCTATTTTTGTTACTGTGGTTGAAAGTGTGCCTTGAAATCAGATGTTGTGAAGTCTGCATCACAGGGTCTTTTGTACTTTCATTTAAATTTTAAGATCTTTTTCTATGAAGAATGTCATTGGTTTTGATGGGGACTGCAATGAATCTGTAGACTGGTTTGGTAGTATGGCCATTTTCACAACATTAATTCTAATCCATGAACATGGGAAATCTTGCCAACCTTAGCATCTTTAATTTCTTATATCAGTGTTTTGTGATTCTCATTGTAGAGGTCTTTCACTTCTTTAGTTTATTCCCAGGTATTTTTTATAGCTATTGCAAATGGGATGTTTTAGTGATTTTTTTTGTTAGAAAACTCATTGGTGTATAGAAAAGCTATTGATTTTTATATGTATCCCACTCCATAAATTCACTCATGAGTTCTAATAGTCTTTTGGTGGAGTCTTTAGGATTTTCTATGTATAGAATCATATCAATTGCAGATGAATAATTTGATTTTCTCCTTTCCTATTTGTGTGACTTATTTTTTTTCTCTTACTTAATTCCTCTGGCTAAACCTTCTTGTATTATTTTGAATAAAATCAGAGTTGCCACCCTCATCTTGTTCCTGATCTTAGAGTAAATGCTTTTGGTTTTCCCCCATTCAGTATGGATGTTGGCTATGGGTTTATCACATATAGCCTTTGCTGTGTTGAGGTATGATTCTTCCTATACCTAATTTGTTCAGGGCATTTATCATGAAGGGATATAGGATTTTATCAGATACCTTTTTAAAAAAATTTTTTTAGTTGTTGATTGACCTTTATTTATTTACTTATATGTGGAGCTGAAAATCAAACCCAGTGCCTCACACATGCTAGGCAAGCACTCTACCAACTGAGCCACAACCCCAGCCCACAAGATACCTTTTCAACATCTATTGAGATGATATTTTATCCCTCCTTCTGTTTGTAACATTATACATATTGATTTATGCATATTGAATCATACTTGCATCCCTGGAATGAAACAACTTGATCATCATGCATGTTGTTTTTAATATTTATTTTTTAGTTTTAGGTGGCCACAATATCTTTATTTTATATTTATGTAGTGCTGAGGATCAAACCCAGTGCCCCATGCATGCTAGGCAAGCACTTTACCTCTGAGCCATACACAGCCCCATCATGCATGTTTTTGATGTACTGAATTTGGTTGCTAGTCTTTTTTGTTTGTTTGTTTGTTTTTGCATCTATGTTCATCAGAGATGTTGGTCTGTAGGTTTGTTAATGTTTGTCAGGTTTTGGTAACAGGGTAATGCTAGCCTCATAAAATGTGTTTGGAAAGGTTTCCTCCTTTTATGGAATAGTTTAAAGAGTTTGGTAAAATTCAGCAGTGAGATCATCTGGTCCTCAGGGGGAGACTTTTTATTACTGATTAGATCTCATTATTTATTGATCTATTCATGTTTTTTATTCTCTTGGTTCAGTTTGGCAGGTCATGTGTATCCCCAATTATGTCCATTTCTTCCAGATTTTCCAATTTGTTAGCATATAGTTTTTCAAAATAATTTCCAGTGGTCTGCTGTAATTCTTTGGTAGCAGTTGTAATGTTTCCTTTTTCATCTTGAAGGTTATTTGGATCCTCTTTTTCTTGGTAAGTGCAGCTAAAAGGCTGTCCTTTTCGCTTAGCTTTGTGTACATTATAATTATACATAATTTGTTCAATCTCCTTAGTACCATTTTTCCCTCTGCTCCTTCCTCCCTGATCTACTTGCTCTACTGATTTCCATTTTATTATTTTAATTAGTACATCACCATTACATGTAAATGGGGCTCACTGTGGTATATAACCACACAGGCATAGGTAGATTTTTGTCCCTCATACTTCCTCATGCCCTCCCCTTTCTCTAGACTATAGGTCTCTTCTGTTTTCATGAGATCCCCATTTTTATTCCTTTCTCCCTTTCGATCTTCCACCTGAGAGAAAATATTTGACCCTTTACTTTCTGGATATGGCTTATTTCATTGTTCTCCAGTTCCATCCATTTACCAGCAAATGCGATGATTTCATTTTTCTTTATGGCTCAATAAAACTCCATTGTGTATATATGCAACACATTTTCTTTATCCATTTATCTGTTGATGGGCACCTGGGTTGGTTCTATTACTAGTCTATTATGACTACCTCAGCTACACTAAAAATTGGTATGCATGTCTCACTCTAATATGCTGATTTTAGTTCCTGTGGATAAATACTGAGGATAGCTGTGTCATATGGTGGGTCCATTTCTAGTGTTTTGAGGACTCTTCATACTGCTTTCCAAAGTGGTTGTATTAATTTGCAGTTCCACCAACAATGTGCAAGTGTACCTTTTCCTCAATACGCTCCCCGGTATTTGTTATTTGTATTCTGTTTCAGCCTCCCAAGTACCTGGAATTATAGGCATGTGCCATTCTAAGTGGAGTGAGATAAAAATCTGTGTAGTTTTGATTTGCATTTCCTGAATTTCTATTTGATACATATCTTTTGACAAATGACATTTGCCCTTTTATTGATTCGGTTTATTTTTGGTGTTTTTAGTTCTTTATGCATTCTGGATATTAATCCCCTGTTGGAATAGTAACTGACAAAGATTTTCTCCCATCCTGTAGTCTCTTCTTCTCTTGTTTTCTTTGATGTGCAGAAGTATTTAAATTTGATGCCATTCCACATACTGATTCTCAGTTTTATTTCTCGAGATTTAGGAGTCCTAAGGAAGTTAGTGCCTGCAAAGGTTGTTTAGCTTTTAAAGAACCAACTCTTTGTTTCACTGGCTTTTTGTGTTATTTTTTAGTCTTTCATTTCTGCTGAGCTATATTATTTCTTCCTTTTACTAATTTACAGTTTGGATTATTTTTTTTCTAAATCCTTGAGGTACATCATTAGGTTACTTAAAGTCTTTTTAAATACAAGAACTCATTGCTATAAATTTCCCTCATAATACCACTTTTGCTGCCTCCCACAAGGTTTGGTGTATTTTGTTTCATAAATGTTTTAAAAACTTCCCTTCTGACTTCCAGCGACTCACTTATTCTAAAGTGTGTTATTCAGTTTTCACATACTTTTAGAATTTCTATAGCTATTCTTGTTTTAATTTCATTGTAATCAGAAAAGATACAAGATACAATGAAATCCTATAAGACTTGTTGTGGCCTACTGTGTGGTCTAGAGAGTTATGTACTGATTTAAAAAACATGTATTCTGAAGCTGTTAGATGGACTGTTCTGTAAATGTCTGTTAAGTCCACTTGATATTTAGTATGGTTTAACTTTGATGTTTTATTGTTTTCTTTTTGTCTAGATGAGTTGTCCACTGAAGAAAGTAGGATATGGAATTCCCATGCTGTTATCACACTGCAGCCTATCCCCCCAATTTAGGGCTAACAGTGTTTGTTTTATAAAATTGGATGCTCCAATATTAGATACTGATAGATTCCAAACACCTTAATGAAATGATACCTCCTTGATCATTACAAGGAGTGATGTTATTTCTCAGTTTTTGATAAAGCCTATTTTGTCAAATGCAAGTATAGCTATTCTTGCTTATGTTAGGATTTCATTTCAGGATATTTTCCATCTCTTAGTGTATCATTACTGGTAAAAATTTGTTAGTACAAGAGATAGAACCCAAGGGTACTTTAGCACTGAGCTACATCTCCAGCACTTTTAATTTTGAGATACAGGCTTACCAAGTTGCTGAAGCTGGACTCAAACTTGTGATCCTCCTGTTTCAGCCTCCCAAGCAGCTAGAAGTATAGGTATATACCACCATTTCCTTACAATTTGTATTTTTTAATTGGAGAATTTAACCTATTTACATTTTTTACATTTAAGTTTATTATTCAGAGGTACATACTTATGCCTTTTTTGTTGATTATCTTCTAATTGTCTTAAATAGTCCTTGTTCTTCCTCTTATTCATCTTTGTGGTTGGATGGCTTATTGTAATAATAATGTTTGAATCTTTTCCATTTCTCGTGTGTATCTTCTGCTCTAGTGGGACTTACACTTTTACATGCAGTCATGGTGGTAGTTTTCTTTCTTTCACTTCTGGATATAAGACTCCCTTAAGCATCTTTTGTAAGGCTTATCTTGTTATCCTGAATCCTTGAAAGGTCTTTATTTCTCAAAGATACCCTTGCAGGTAATAGTAATCTTGGTAGCAGTTATTGTTTCAGGTGACTTGAAATATATCATTACATTTCCTCCTGGCCTGCAGGGTTTCTTTTGATAAAACTTCTGTTAGTCTTAAATATTACTTGGTGCTTTTCTCAGAGATTTTAAAATACTTTGTTCCTGGATGACTATTTGATTATAATGTGTCATGGTAAAGGTATTTCCTGGTCATGTCTACTTGGAATTCTATATGTGTCCCATATATGGATGTCCATGTCTTTCCCCAAATTAGGGATGTTTTCTGTGTCTTTAACCTTTAGCTCCTCACCTTTGGATATTCCAAAATGAATATTTGTTCATTTAATGTCACCCACAAGAACTTGAAAGCATCCTAATTTTTTTTTTTTCTTGTTTGAATGGGATATTTCAAAAGACCTGTCTTCAAGCTCAGATTCATTCTTCTACTTGATATAGTCTGTCAGGCCTTTGACATTTTCCTGTGCCTTATTGAGTTCTTCATTTGCAAGATTTGTTTGGTTCTTTTTCAACTCTTTTTGCTGGGTTTCTCAATCACATCCTGAATAATCTTCCTAATTTCATTTAACTGTTTATAGTCTTAGATCTCAGAGATTTAAAAAAAAAATCATTCCCTTGAATTATTTGTCAAGTATTTCATTTATTTTGAGTTCTTGGAATCTATTAATAGAGTTCTGATCTTTGGGAGATACACGATTACATTGTATTTTCATACTTCTAAATTGAGATTTGGACATTTGGTAGATCAGATATCTCTACCACATTTATGGAATGGTTGTTAGTAAGCAACCTTCTCTTAAAGATGTCTAGGGATGTCAGTTTGTTATTCAGTGTTGAATTTATTTCCAGCTAGGCACCATATTGTCTCCCTGTAGCTTCTTTGGCTGTGATTAGTGAATTTGGGCACAGTGTATATCATGTTTGTGTCAGAGGGGCTCATGATCTCTGTGGGCTATGCAGGGACACTCTAGTGGTAGTTCAGGCAGATGTAGCATAGGTAGCACATTGTGTGGCTTCTCCTACAATGGAAGTGGTAGCCCCCATCAAGTAATAAGGGTTTCCTCAGGTACTGGTGACTTCGTTATTTGCAAAGGTCTTTGGCACTGGCTGTCCCCATAATGATATGGGCTTAAAGCACTTATCCTATAGCCAGACAATGGTGTAGGCTCAGGTCCTGCATGGGAGAGGCAGTGGCAGGAACCACAGCATCCCTGTGACACTCACACCCAACCTGACAGCAGTGTGTGGTCAAACAATGTGTAAGAAGGCCTAGTGGTGGGAATCCCATTTGTGTGATGGCAGCAGGAATTCCTTTCTGCCTCTGCTGTGGGGCACTCCTTCACGAGAGAGAGAGAAATGGCCTGGCTTTTTTTTTTTTTTAATTAAACCACCAATTCTTTTAGCCATAGTGGCTACTAGTAAGTTTGCATGAATAAGATGTGGTTGGACCTGGGCAAAATTCCTCTCAAAGCCTCCTTTGGTCATGAGTGCCTCCTGGCAGGGGTGGAGCCACAACCAAATCTGTGGCATTGCTTAAAGTCACTCAAGCACACCTATGAGAGCATGGCAGCAGTAGAACCACAGAATTCTTTCCTTACCCTCTTAGTGGCAGGCACATATACACAGAGCTTGGGGGAGGGGAGGGTTGGTGGGAACCACATGGGAGATTGCCTTTAGTCCTGGCACCTAGTGCAAATCTGCATGCAACTGGTCACATCCCTGATCTCAGAGGGCAAGCTCTGCAATCTCCCCTTTCTTGAGGATAGTTTCCTCTCCATTCCCTTCCTTATCATAATACCTGTCCTTACTGTTCAGGGCACCCAGTGGGTTTGATTCAGACCTACTCTACTGGGTCAAGTTTAATTCACAAGACAAGTTTGGTTCAGGTACCCACTGAACCAGTGCAGTGGAATTTCAATCGCATCCCAGAGATGGGAATATTCCAAGGGCTTCTGACCCTTGCAACATCCCAAATTCACACAGTAGATTCCTTTTCAAGGTGTCTCCCCACTGAAACCTTAGGTGCCATAGCCGGAAGATATGAAATCCTTTTCTAAAGCAAAGCTATTGTGCAGATTTCAGATTGTTCATCTAATTAGGCTACAAGCCTTTGAGGGTTGTGAAACTCTCCAATAGCTAGAATTGCCAACATCCACACTGATGGTTTGCTAAGACTCTATTTCTCATTTACCCCTGCAGAGGGAAGACACTCCATTTCCTGGCTACCACTCCCATCTGCATATTTTGTTTCTTACTATGCTTTTGTTGGATCTCTGAACCTACATGTTCAGATTTTCTTGCAGTTGCTCCCATGATTATTTCCTCCACATGCAGTTATATACCTGTTGCTTTGGTTTTTCTTTGTGGAGGAACAGCCATCTTAAAATCCCGCCCAACTGTGTTGGTTCCATAAATTTTTCTCAAGTCTTTATCACCAACTCCCGTTTTCTTGCTAGCATATGAGGCCAAACAGGAAACAAGATAGACTTAAGTGGAAAAATCAGGAAGTGCCTGCTTATTTTGATATTTGTAGCTATCTGTGCCTATGGTCAAAACTTATATGTTTCATAGATAATAATTATGTTTTCTGCTAGCAAAACTGTTCTTGATTATATAGTGAAACATGTATATATTTGATCTCATGGTGCCCTGAAGAAAGCATTATAACTTCCAAGTGCTTTAATAACATGATCTAGTTCATTGTGTTGGGCTTCTCCTTTGGTCTTTTCTATTTTTACTAACTTGTCTATTAAGGTGGATGGTAGTGTAAACCAAAAAACACAAGAATAATTCATAAAGCAAAACAAACGGCACTTACCTATAAAGAGCATCATGAGATACAGCCGTAGCACATATGGGAAATAGATGGAGAAGTCAAAAGGCAGCTTGGTAGAGTAAGTGCCAAATGATTCAAAATAAGGCAGCGACTGATAGATGGCAAATGCTGTTTAAAGAAAAAGGACATCATAAGGTTCTCCTCTTCAACATGTTCCAGGTTGTGTATATATGTCTCCCTAGTTGAACAATTTTTTGAATCTGACAGTTTTCTGATGTTTGCCAAATCCTCTAGCTAACATTGTAGTATAGTATAGAAATTTCTGCTGAATAATCAAGTGAACAAAGCTGTTACATCAGTGTGACTTTCTGAATTTTTGTCCAGGATATACTCTATTATGCTCACATGGAAAAAATTATAGGCATTCTTAAAAGGGTAATTCAAAATACTTTTGTGCCCCTTACCACAAATAGGGGTAATAATCAAATGAACTTGGGAGACGCTACATACTTTTTTTCTCCTGGAATGGTACAACACACAATTAGCACAATAAAGGTCCTGAGAAATTTTGCAGAAAAGAGACTAATATCACCCATTTTCTCAGACTATCTCTTCCTCTCTCTCACAGCCCTAGTAGTACTTAATAAAACTTCTAGGGAACTCATACCTGAAATGCTGGCCTAAATTATTTTGAAGAAGGAGGCTGGTGTCAAAAAGATGGGGACTTCATGAAACTGTATCCCATGTGTAGATTTTTAATAAAATATATAATTTTTTTCCATGAAATAAAACACTACCAGTGATGTGAGATGTAATCACTAGGGAAAGGATGAAAGGTACAGGAGAATTAGACACTAGTCTCTAGTATTTCATCATAGAACCAGTTGATCTGGTTATTTATATGAATTATGTTTTTCTTATATTTACCAGATGTAAAAACTATGTTATTTAAATGAGTTATTAACTTATTAAAAGTTATCAAAAGTTAAAGTTTTCTTAACTACATATTCTTATCCTATGAGATATTTGAACTATATAGAAACAAAATCAGTCACCCCATATTCCCTACCCAGGATTCATAACTGTTGACAATTTTGTCATGAATGCTTCTAGATTTTTTTCTGTGTATACTTCATAAGAATAAGTTTATGAATTTAATAAAAGAATATGGGTTGTATGACAGCCATGTCTTTCTTAGAAAGAGAAGGCTTAGAATTAACAATAGAATACATTTAGTCATCACTAGTTTTAAGAAGAGATTAATCATATTTCTACTTTATTCCCTAATTTAAAACTTTTATTTTGGGTTTTATTAATTTTAATTAAAAACTATAACTGTATACACTTGTGAGACAGGGTATATGTTGTGATATATGTATAAAATGTGGAATGATGAAACAAGCTAATACTCATCACCTCATTTATTTTTGGTGGCAAGACATTAGAAATTTACTTTCAACTATTTTAAAATAAATTATTATTAGCTATAGCCACCTTGCTGTGAAGCAGCTCAAAAAAATTTATTCATCCTAATTTAAGCTTTGCATGCTTTGACTAACACTCAGCCTACCATTCCTTTGTATATTCTTTATAATGTTTTTATGATATAACAAAGGAATGTACTTAATGTTTAAATGAGTGAGAGATTTCATTCTTAAAGGGCAGTTTTATGGATTTTCAGGAAGATTATTCCCTAGATTCTTTTGACATAGTCTATTCCGAAATTTAATAAATCTTCCTTTGAAAACAAAGCAAATTTAAAAGTTATATCTAATATGATTTACTATAACTTTAGCTCCTTTTCTCTGGTCAACAGTAGATAGAAAACATATGGCTTTATTTTACATACTATTCTTTATGTACTTTATGATTATTGGCAACATCACCATCGTTTTATGGTGAATCTGTTCCTTTATGATTTCCCTTAGTTACTTCAACATGCATTCTTATTTTATGCCTTCAGTTTTCAAAAACTTTAATCGTCTTTTAGAAAGCTCCCTAGTAGTCTGCCAAATCCATTACAGAAGTAAGTGTATATACTCCAAATATCTTCAAGTTCTTTGCAAGTTGATGATTTTTATTAAGTTTGAGGTTTATATTTTGGTTACGTAATTAACCTACTTGGTATTGGAGCTAACAATTCATTCTGTGTTTACTGAGCTAGTGCATAAGAGAAAGGAGAAAAGCAAAAAAACAGGCACACCCCATGCCTTCATGGAGCTCAAAATGTAGTTAGGGAACTGGATATTATTCAAAGAATCATACAAATGTCTAGTTAAAGCTGATAGGCCCTATAAAAAAAAGAAATTCATGAAACCATAGTAGGAAGAATTTACTTAGTTGAGAAGTTTGCGAAGGCTTCTCTAAGAAAGCAACTATTCATCTCAAGGTAGAGGCAACTTGCAGGCAGAGGGAGAGAGGCATGGGAGATGGCAAGTGAGAAGAGTTTACCTAGAGTGAACAGAATTCCTATGCATGAAAAGTAAAAGCCGTAGATCATTGAGTCTCTAAGTGCTAAACCTCTCTTTGAGAGGTTAAACGAGTTTCACAAAATTCATATAGTGAGTTAATGAAGTTAAGGGCTGGACTCAGATGTCCTTGTTTCTTGTCCAGAGCTGCTTCCCTTTCCAACTTTGCTTTATGAAGCAAGGAAATATGCCAGGAGAGAGACACTGAGTACGGTAAGCATGAGCACAAATAATTTAATCATCAAAATTTTAGTGAAGGATCACAACTAGATGTTTTTGTCAGTCCACAACACCTCATCACTCTTTCTTACCTTCAGCAAGAACACACAGAGGATAGATTGGCATCCACAGTGTTTGACTGAGCCATGTCAAGACGGAATAGTATGTTCCTATGACCGATAACATGCTGTAAGTGTACCTGCAAGGAGACAAGGAGCTCATAAGTATCCTTTTCGGCTTGTGTCTGGGAAATAAAAGAAAATAACTTACTATATAATTAGATACAGGGATAAAACTAAAAGTATATTACTTACATACCTATTTTCTATGATTTAAAAAATAGGGCAGGTGGGGACTGTGTCACTCTAGCTTATCTCATGGGGTAGATTGTAGATAATTATAGAATTGAACAGAGTAAGAATGTAATAGTAATCTCTTGGAGTGTAACAAACTCCTTGATTAGAGACTTCAATTTCATTAAAAAGCCCAGCCCCATTTGATGCAGCCAGCAGCTAGGTTTAAAAAAATCAAAACAAAAACTTTGGGGGATGAATTAAAATGACTTCCCAGATTCTTATTTGGTGTGTAGTTGTGGATCTTATGTGATCAATTAATTAAAAGAACTGGCCTTGAGAGCTGGTTTGGGATATAGTAAATAGCTTTAAACCTACCAGCGTGAAGTAGTAGGAAGTTTTCTACATATTTTTATCTACTTGAATAGGCCAGTGGTTCCTAGGCTTAAGTATACAATGAGAATCAACCCAGATAGCTTGTTAAAGCACACATGGCTGGGTCCTTCTGCCACAATTTGATTCAGCAGGACTGAAGTAGAGCCTGAGAAATTTGTGTTACAAGTTCCAGGTAAGACTGATGCTACCTGTCCAGGGATCACACTTTGAGAACAACTGGAAGAAGCAATAAAAATACATGATAAAACTCCCCAAAGCTTGAAAACACGAACAGAAAAAAGTAAGTTTTTCACTCCAGTTTTTAGAAACAATGACCAAAACCAGTTTCTTATGTAACCTTTCAGAAATGTTTTTGCATATGCTCTGTGTATGTAATGCATGCCCGTGGTTTAAGCCCTTACTAACATAGCATGTTATCAAAGTTTTTAATCTTTACAACTTTCAGTGAAAAATTGGACCTTTTCACCCCCCTCTTATTAGAAAAAAAGAGGAATGGGTAAGCATCTCACACATTTAAAAGTCATGTTGGAGGAAGTTCGATTTATTTCCTCTTTTGGTGCTTGTAGGTTTGGTGCCATATTTGATAATACATTGTCAAATCTGAAGTTATATTTTCTTTTAAAGCTTTTATATTTTTAGCTCTTACCTGTGAAGTAAGGTTCCAACTTCATTCTTTTGCATGTGGATATCAGTTGTCCTAGTACATTTGTTAAGACTATTCTTTCCCCCCATTGAATGGCTTTGGCACCTTTGTCAAAAATTAACAAAAAATATGGTAGCTTACCTCTGCACTATTAGTTGTATTCCATGACTGATCCATATGCTAGTACTACACTCATAATAATTATTGCTTGTTGGTAAGATCTGAAATTGGAAGTGTGAATCCTCCAATTGTTCTTTTCTTTCTTTTTTTTTTTTTTTTTTGGCAAGGAGGGTACTGGAGATTGAACTCAGTGGCAAAATTGACCACTGAGCCACATCCCCAGCCCTATTTTGTATTTTTTTAATTTAAAGATAGGGTCTCACTAAGTTGCTTAGCACCCCACTGTTGCTGAGGCTGGCATTACAGGCATGTACCACCACTTCCAGCCCCTCCAACTGTGCTTTTTTAAGATTGTTTTGGCTGTTCTGAGTTCCTTCACTGTCCATGCAAATCTTAGATTCTTTTCAGAAATTGAGAAGCTGATCTTATCTGGCTGTGTCACTGTAGCATGCTGATTTTAAGTCCTTTGGGTATAGACTGAGGAGTGGGATAATTGGGTCAATGGTGATTCCAGTCCAAGTTTTCTAAGGAATCTCCATACTACTTTCCATACTGTTTGCACCAGTTTGCAGTACCATCAGCAATGTATGAGTGAACCTTTTTCCCCACATCCTCACCAACATTTATCATTACTTTGATAATTTCTATTCTGACTAGAGTGAGATGGAATCTCAGTGTACTTTTAATTTGCATTTTTCTAATTGCTAGAGATGTTGAAAATGTTTTCATATTTTTTGACCATTCATATTTTTTCTTCTGTGAAGTCCCTGTTCAGTTCCTTTGCCCATTTATTACTGGGTTATTTGTTTTTTTGTGTTTTTTTTTTTTTGGTGTTAAGTTTTTTGAGTTCTTTGCATATCTTGAAGATTAATGCTCCAAGGTTCAGGTGGTAAAGATTTTCTCCCATTCTGGAGACTGTCTGTCCACATTCTTGGTTGTTTCCCTTTGCTGCAAAGAAGCTTTTTAGTTTGATACCATCCCATTTATTGATTCATGATTTTACTTCTTGGACTTAAAATCAGCATACTACAGTGACACAGCCACATCAATGTTTCTAGCAACTCAGTTCACAATAGCCAAGCTATGGAACTAGCCTTAGGTGCCTTTCAATAGATGAATGGATAAAGAAAATGTGAAACATATACACAAGGGAATATTACTCAGCCACAAAGAAAAATGAAATTATGGCATTGCTGGTAAATGGATGAAACTGGAGACTATCATGCTAAGTGAAATAAGCCAATCCCAAGAAAACCAAAGGCTGAATGTTCTCTGATATGTGGTACTAATATAAGTAGATGGGAAGGGGAAGAATAGAAATTCATTGGATTAGACAAAGGGGAATAAAAGAAAGGGAGGGAGGATGGGAATAGGAAAGACAGAAGAATGAATCGAACTTAACTTTTCTATACTCCTATATGAATACACAACCAGTGTAATTCCACGTCATGTACAACCACAAGAATGTGATCCTAATTAGAATAAGTTATACACATGCTGACATGTATAATATGTCAAAATACACTTTACTATCGTGTATATTTTAAAAGAATAAATTTAAAAAGTGATGAAAAAAAAAAGAAGCTATCTTGGCTTCTCATGGATTGCATTGAATCTACAGATCAATTTGAGAGTATTTCCATCTCAGTGAAATTATACCGTCAACGTGGGATGTCTTTCTATTTAATAAGATCTTTCATTTTTTTAAAAAAAAAGTTCTATAATTTTTATTGTATAAGTTCCTAATATCTTTTAAGATTTTGATTCCTAAGTACTACTCTTTTTGAAGTTGTTATAGTTTTCTAGATTTCATTTTAGGAAATGAAAATAGTTCATTGCAAATGTATAGAAATGCAATTGTTTTTTTAATTAATCTTATGCTATCTTACTAAATTAGTGGATCCCTTATGATTTATGTATATAAGATCACATCATCTGCCAATAGAGATGGTTTTACTTCTTTCTTCCCAATCTGATGACTTTTTATTTGATTTTCTTAATTGCCATTTCTAGAATTGCTAGTACAGTGATGAGTAGAAGTGGCAAGAGTGGACATTCTTCTCTTGTTTCTGAGGAGTGACTGCTAATGGATATGGGAGAATGTTCTTAGATTAAATAGTGGTAATGGTTGCACAACTCTTTGATTATACTAAACTCCACAAATTTTAAATTTTAAAAAAATGTGATATTCCTAAGACTATTTAACAAGTAAGTAGTAGGTATGGGTTTCATCCAGATATTGCTGACCTCTATATCCAAAATTTCCATGATTGATTGTTATCACCATCAATACAAAGTTGGTCTCTGTTGGGTCTATTAAGCTCACTGAGACTGAGCCAACACTGAAGTTTGCTCGTAGTCTGCAAAACTATTTTTAAAATGATTAATAAATTACTATGTACAAAGAATTAGTTTAATTAAAAATATTTCATTCTCCTCTCTAGGACTCAACCCATTATTTAGATATATTTGAATCTACCCACATTACTGGCGATATAATAAAAGCAGAATTTGTATAACCTCAGCTAAAAATCTCAGGCTATTCTGTGACCTGTTCACATCCAATTCTTTCAAGTAGGGGAGAAACTATTCACTTGAAAGCTGAAGTGGCAGTTAGAACACCTCCCCAAAGAGAGGTATGAGGGCTCACTGATAAAGGTGAGAGTCTTACACCAAAGAAAGGTCTGAGCACATCTCGGTACAGTTTTAGAATTATAAGGAAACTGAAGACTAGATCAAGAATTCCCAGGGGTTCCATGAAAGGACTTCAGTTAGTCGTTTGAACCCACTGGAATTGCATACAAAACCTGATGTGGAGGTGCATTTTTTCCCCTGAAAGGTGAGGTCCCAAGTTTAAAATATCTAAGTCCGCAGAAACCAACTTTGTAAATTCTGACAATGATATAAAAGTTCTGCTTTGCTTGTTAAAGTAACATGTAAGGAACGCCTTTCATTAGCAAACAGCTGTGAGGTTTATTTCAAGTTGGTGTTATGCCAAGCCTTGTGCTGGAATCCTGAATACACTAATTTGCTCTTGTAATACCACGGTAGGTTTCCATTATCTTTGATATGCCCATTATGGAAAGCACTAAAAATACATTTCCATATCAAGATAAAATAATTTGAAAAGAGGTTATGCTTTTCTGTCTCATTCAGAGTAACCAAATGTAAGCAGCTATTACTAGTATTGAAAGCAATCTGGACTTGTTTTAAGAGATTATTTTGCTTTCTTACCTAGCCATATCCAACAGATTCCAAAAGATGAATAAAACACACACCACATATTTCTCCTGGATTTCCTCTTGACTGGTGATCACCACAAAAAGAATGACTATTCTCTCTGTGAGCTAACAAAGAAATGGCAAAGTCAAGAATTAGGATCATTTGTTAGGCCATATAAGTAATTTTCTACTTTTAAAATCCAGAGGGTTTTTTTTTCTTAAGTATGCTTTAACTGGAACTATGTATACCAAAATGTTAATAATGACTATTCCTTAAGGGGTTGTGTTATGGGTAAATTTCATTTCCTCCTGTTTGTTTTTCTGTACTTTCCAAAATTATATATAATGAATGAAAAGATAACATTTTATCAGGATATTTCTTTTTCTTTCCATATGCACACATGTTTCTATTCACTTTGGCAATCTTTATTGAGTGTTCACTATGTATTAAATGCTGTAATGAAAACATGGTTCTTGCTCCAGAGAGGGTAGTAGTGAAGGGAGAATATGGAGCAATAACTGATGTGGAAATGTATGTGCTATGGGTGGAGGTGGGGTGGCACAGGTGAGGGAGATGCTTGCTGCCTGAAGAGAGAACACAGTCTTATGAAGGCAGGCAACTATTCAACTGGATTTTAAAAAATGAATGAGTGTGCCAATAAGACTGGATTTAAGAAAGGGTATCTTGGGCAAAGGGAACAGTCTGAGCAGAGGTGTAGAAATGCAAGGTGTTTGGGGAGGAGTGAGAACCACTGAGAAACTGGAGTGGAGGGTGCAGAGAAGGGAAGAATAAATTGAAAATGTGTTTAGGGCTGAGTTGTGAAGGGTTCTGAATGATAGGCCGAGAAATTTTAATTTCATCCAATAGAGAAGCCATTGTAGTTTGGGGGGAGGGAGGGAGAAGGGGAGTAATATAATCCTAACCTTCAAAAGCTAGTGGAAAATGAAGAAAATTTAACACATTCTTGGAATACATACATATATTCCAACTCAGTAAGCATTTCCAAATCATTGAGAATTCACACATTTTTGGCTTACCTCCAGTTACCAGCCTCAAAAAAGAAACAACAAAAAAATTCTTTCTCCACCTAAATATTAAGTGCTTTCTTATGTTTCATTAACATATCCTGTATAGTCTACATTTTTTGGCGCTTCATAGGACATTTTACTTTGCTCTTGATGGTCAAAAGAAAGTAGATTTGAGACTGAAGGAACATACTCATAGGAAAAGAAAACGTAAAAGGATTGATTTATGTTTTTCAATAGCTGCCTTTATTTTAAAAGCTGATTAAGGAGAAAATACTGGAACAATCTGGCCATTTGTCCAGGAAAACAATCTAGTGTAGAAAAATCCAAGATTTGCCAACAGTGGGTCACGTGATTAGAAGTCCACATGTATCAGCTATCTCAGCATGTGTGTGACCCCAGAGGTGAGTCAAAAGGGCCCTTGCTTAGCTAAGGGGAATTAAGACATGATTCAAACCTGAGTCAATCTGTGGATACTATCTACATAGCAGTTTTTCTTTGGTCAGTGTTTATAATATAGTACCCTTGTTTCTTAATTATATAATGAATTCTACTGAGCTGCAAGTATAATTATGATCCAATTTTGCTGTCATTTGAGTACAAGCTGTAAGTACTGAGGCACAATCTTACATTTTATCAATGCCTGGTAATTAGGAAACCTTGCATTTTGCTAAAAATCTCAGGGGAGACACACATGAACACATGCATACAACACAGATTTCTAATTACATGGCCAACTACTGAAAAAATGTAGATACCTCTTAATTAGATGATCTCTGGAGTCCCCTTCAGATAAAATATTCTGACACTAGCCCAGCCCCGCCTTTTTACGAATAAGGAATTTGGGAAACAAAGAATTTAACTGACATACCCAGGTCAGGTAACATGTATCTTAAATCTCCAGAGTAGTAAGCTGTCTGTGATGTCAAGCTGACCTTTAGGGGATAAGGACAGAGGGGAAAATCTCCTGAGAGAGACTGGAGCTACAGGATGAGACTCACTCCACTGAAGATCGTCAAGTGAAGTTCTGTGGCATATTAGTGATGAAATCCCAGTTGCATAGAAATCAGCAATTGACATGCCCCCAAATCCAATCCACAACACATATACATATGTGTGGGTATGCAATCAAAATACTTCCTGCATATACAATATCAATGTGTGTGTGTGTGTGTGTGTGTGCGCGTGTGTGTGCGCGCGTGAGCATGTTGGGTATTGAACTCAGGGGTGTTTAACCACGGAATCACATATTTTAGCAATGTGAATGCAAATAAGCACCTGTTTCATAGCTAAAAAGAAAATTTTATTTTGAGATAGGGTTTCATTAAGTTGCTTAGGATGGCCTTAAACTTGTGATCCTAATTGGCCACTCAATAACAATATAATATAATAGGCAGAGATGTTCTTAAGTTGATAAAAGTCAACATTTATGGGTTACTTTTTGCCAGGTTCCAAATAAACAGCATCTCAATCTCCATACTGACCATAAGAGGTGGCTACTATTACTGTTTTACAAAAGTCACTTTACTAAGTTAAAGTGACTTGCTTACAAGTCTGGCATCAAAATCTGGACAATGCAATTCTAAATCCCTGGTTGTGAAACTTTGATTCTCACCTTTGTTACTTGGTGAACTACTCCAGAACCTCACATCCAACGGACAATCTACTCTCTAAAAGAAAGTTTCCTTTGAAATTATACCTCAAGACAATAGACTCCTTGATTTCTTAAATCAACACCAAATCAATTTTGAGGAAAAGATTTTTTAAACTTATTTTCTTTGAGATTTACAATTTGGAGAACTAAGCACTATTTTATTTTTAATGAATCCTAGGACTATCTGATTATTACTAATGAATGATCTTGTAATGTTGAGTATAACTCAAATGGAGAATAAAAGGTGTAGTAGTAGTAATCATAGTAGAAATCCTATCATTTATGCCACATTAAACCTGTTAATATTTATTCAAATGTATGGTAGCCACAAAATAAGAATACTTTGCATTTTTATGTTCTGTTTTGGAATCCTAAACTCCAGGTTAAAACAATAAATGAAGCTAAGTTCTTAGTTTATAAGTGGCAGCACATTATAAGCTGAAGTGCTAAAGAGGCAAAATACTTCAAATGTAAGGAGATTTTCTGGAATCTTATAAATTAGTTTTAGTCTCTGACTTTTACTAAAATGACCCAAGCTTTCTATTCTGTGAACTTTTGGGAAACTTCAGAAATATCTTTATATATTAAAAAAATCACCAACTACGTTCCCTGCAAGATCAAAGCATTTAAATAATTCTCTATATATTTGTTCATTCATTCTTCCTCTAATAGATAATTATGGAGAGTACTGGTACTGTTCTGGGTACCAGAGGACATAACTGTAAATAAGACCAAATCCCTGCTCTTACAGTATTTGCATTCTACTTGGTACTATGTAAACAAATGTAGCTTAAACAAATTTATACTATAAGATACATAACCTTTGTGATCTTCAGTAATTGACTTTTGTGTTAAGTAATTTTAGAGATAATGCTTAGTGTCTATCACATAGAAATTAAAAATAGGAAAAAGTTGTTCTGAAGAGTGTTAATGCATATAAAGAACTTAAAAAAGTGTTTGATACATAGACCTAAATATCAGTTATGATTACATATAATTTAATGTAGTGATTAGTGTATTTAGAGGAAAACATTTTCTATATAGATAATCCAATCCAGGAACTTAAAAGTCAATTTCAGCATTTATTAAATTACACTATAAATATAGGTTTGTACTTATCACACTAAGTAACTCCTTCGATCTAATGTACAAAACAGGAAAAATCTAAAATCTTACTTACAGAGTGAATTATATGTATAATTAATTACCAGGAGGCTTCAAATTTTGGAGAATCTTACTGTTCAACACTGTCTTCAACAGTTTTATCTCTAACGATTATAAGCTTATTCTCAAAACTTGAGAGAAATCTATGTGATTTTATGAGAATTCAAAAGATTAGCCTAGCAATGCATATAAGCACTTGCTTCACAACTAAAAAGAAATTAAGAGTGAAACCTACCTAGTTGTTTTCTTAAAAGAGAGTAAGACACGCTCCTTGAGAATGTCTGCATATCTGTTCTGTTAACTTGGAAGGCTGCAGCAGGAGAATCTCAAGTTGAAGACCAGCTTTGGCAACTTAGTGAGACCCTGTCTCAAAAATGAGAGAAAAGGGCTGGCGATGTACCTCAGTGGTAAAGCACCCTTGGTTTTAATCATAGAACAGAGACAGGAAGAGGGTCTGTGACTGTGACATCTTTGGAATGAGTTTTAGACAGCAAGCTTGTCCTTGTCAAATAGGAGTAGATATGGGCAAATATAGAAATGGTTCATACAGTTTGGTTTCAAATGAAATGTCTGTAGGCACAATAGTTTAAGGGTAATAACTGCTAGCGTTTTGATTTACAGATTAAAGGAATTATATAAAAATGTAAAATGAATACATATGCAACAGTGTTTAGGAAGGAAGGATGTGGAATTGATCCATTTTAATTCAGTTATAAAGGAAGTATTTACATTTAAAGAATTTCTCAAAAAATAAAATATTACTCTTACATTACTTATATCTCACTCTTATTTCATACAAAGCATATCAGTCTAACATTATCATACAAAAGTTATTTTTTGGCTATTTCCTCCTCTTCTTGAGTTGAAACGCCCGAAAGTTGTATCAATAAACTTTCTCAGGCTTCTGCACAAATGGAGTATGAACACAGCCCTTAAAATATTTCAGAATTGGTAATATTCAAATTCTCTCTAAATTTATTTTCCTTTTAATTAAAATTTCTTTTGTATTTTAAAACATTTTTATATAGTTTTAATTGGCGTGTGCCTATTTCCATAAATAGAAGTTCTAAATAGCTATTCGTGTTATGTTTTTGCCCTTTCCTCCTAAAGTATATTAAAAATAAAATATATATCTGTTAAATGCTTGTCTTATAAATCAATGGTGTTTTCCCCCATATTTTGCTTTAGCAATTATGAGATTTTTAAAATCATGTCTCTTCCCACAGTGCCAAAATAAAGATGTTAGTGTAAAACACACAGAACACAAACCTACCCCTATTTGTACACCACTAGTACTTGCTAAGGGATTCTAACTATTCAAAAAGCTTATCCATCCCTACTGCTAGTTGGAATTATTTATCTTGACATTTTGCAAGACCAGTCCCCCAAAAGAACTCAGTTGTGGCTTAGCAATCTCTTAAAGGTAATATTAAAATAACATCACAATTGTGTGAACGTGATTTAGGGCCTCCTTGAAAACATCTGGGAACCCTGCATTTTTAAGGTCTGCATGCAGTCAGCTATGATGATCGTGCAAGTCACTTAGTTGCCCTCCTGCCTTCAGCTTCTCCATTTAAAACGGAAAAACAGGAAAACCAACAATGATTACACAACCTAAGAGTTTTGTTTCATTACTTTAAAGCAGAGGTCTCAGTCATCGCATAATGAGAGAATTCTATTTGTCTGCAGAACTCTCATAAAGGAATGGGGCAGAAAATGAAACTTTGCACAAGATGATGTGTTTTGAAGCTCTGTTAACACCATTTTCATTCTGAGAACCAGTGAATAAAAGAAATAGAGGGCAGTGGCGCACTCCCATAATCCCAGCAGCTCGGAGGCCAAGACAGGAGGATTGTACATTCAAAGCCAGCCTCAGCAAAATTGAGGCGCTAAGCAACTCAGTGAGACCCTGTCTCTAAATAAAATCCAAAATAGAGTTGGGGATGTGGCTCAGTGGTTGAGGGCCCCTGAGTTCAATCCCCAGTATCCAAAAAAAAAAAAAAAAGAGAGAGCATGTGACAATATCTTAAAAGAAATTTTAAAAGTAAGTAAAACAACAACACAAAAAAACTAATAATCAGTCCAGGAGAAGAATGGCAGTTGTTTTCTCTAATGTGGTGATTACTGACTTGTCATCCCTCCTAAGGACCAAAGACTTAGGAATCATTTGTTTTATTAACCGTAGACTATGCAAATCCACTTTTAAGTCTAAAGTGTTAATGTTTGTTTATCATTATTTCAAAATTACAATTAGGACTAACCTCTTGGATTTCAGTGATGGTTCTATAAGCCATTAGTTTTAATTAGTGGTGATTAAAATCACATTTAAATTTTCTGGAACTCCAAGAAATCAGATTTCTAAGTTTTATGATTTCTGTTAAGCAGACCTACAAAATTTTGCACAGCATAAAATATGTGCATGTTTTCTAGGCATATTCTAAGTACTCATTCAGTTCTTCTTACAGTTATGCATTCTTACCAGGTGCACTAACTGAACTAATACTACTTAATTTTGAAAATGCTGTTTTAGCATGAAGTCAGTATTAACAAATATAGCCTAAAAAAAGAAGTCCCTAAAAGTATACCAAAAGAAAACACGAACATGAACAGACACTTCTCAGAAGATGATGTACAATCAATCAACAAATACATGAAAAAATGTTCATTATCACTAGCAATGCAAATCAAAACCACTTTAAGATTTCATCTCACTCCAGTCAGAATGGCAACCATTATGAAGAAAGACAACAAAAGGTGTTGACAAGGATGTGGGGAAAAAGTACACTCATACACTGCTGGTGGGACTGCAAATTGGTGCAGCCAATATGGAAAGCAGTATGGAGATTTCTTAGAAAATTGGGAATGGAACCACCATTTGACCAGCTATCTCTCTCCTTGGACTATACCCAAAGGACTTAAAAATAGCATACTACAGGGACACAGCCACATCAAATGTTTATAGCAGCACAATTCACAATAGCTAAACTATAGAGCCAACCTAGATGCCCTTCACTGGATAAATGGATAAAAAATGTGGCATATATACACAATGAAATATTACTCAGCAATAAAAAAGAATAAAATCATGGCATTTGCAGGTAAATGGATAGAGTTAGAGAAGATGATACTAAGTAAAGTTAACCAATCCCAAAAAACCAAATGCCGAAAGTTTTCTCTGATATAAGGAGGCTGATTCATAGTGATATAGGGAGCAGGAGCATGGGAGAAATAGACAAACTCTAGATAGGGAAGAGGGGTTGAAAGGGAAGGGAGAGGACATGGGGTAATTAATGATGGTGGAATGTGATGATTATTACTATGCAAAGTACATGTATGAAGACACAAATTGGTGTGATTATACTATGTATACAACCAGAGATATGAAAAATTGGGCTCTATATATACAATAAGAATTGTAATGCATTCTGCTGTCATACAAATTGTAAAATTACATAAAAAATAAAAATAAACGTGATTAAAGATTTTTTATGAATTTGATCATATTACAAGCAAAATAATTCCATGTGATAGAATAGAACTTTAGAACTTTAATTTAACATGGCCTGTTAATTCTGTCCTCCAAGATCAACATTATGGGATAGTATTACTAATTTTAGTTGTTTCAAAGTACAGCATGCAATGTTAAATAATTCATAAATACAAATAAGTTGTCTTACGAAATTACATGTTGCATCTAGGATAGTTCTGTAGCTTTTTATTTTGTGAGGAAATATATTGAAGGAAATTCCATTTAGGTCCTAGCTAGTTAACTGTTATAATATTAATCTATTATATAGGGTTGCCATGATTTTATTTTACATTTGAACATTTAAAATGTCTTCATTCTATTCTCCAAATAGTGATGAAAGGAAATCTGGGAATTTATTTGTTAATCATCTGCTCTTTTCCATTCATTCTAATGAATACAACTTCTATTTAATAAGTAAAATGAAAAATATCCCATACACTTGTAATACTGAGTTGTTACAAGGTTCCTTAGGATTATATTCCCAGTTTCACCTTTTAAACTTTCACAGTATTTAAAGCAAATTTTAGTACAGGGACTCTATCTTATTCTTTCAACAAAAAATTAAAGTATATATTTAGATTCTAAGCACTTTGCTAGGCAATATAAGACTGACATTTTAATAATTTTTACAATGTAAGTTTGGCATAGTTATATACTTTTTAAATTTGTTTTGGGGATACCTGAAATTATACTCACAGATACCTATTCCCAATCCTGGAGATTATGAACACATGTTTACATAGTCACCTAACCCTTATTTCCACTCTAAGAAAAATGCTACTTGGTTTTTCTTGCCTTAATCCAGATTTTTCTATTGAGTATCAGTAAATTTCCAATCTACTTTCCACCTGCTTTTAGAAAGAACATGGCCATCTAGGGCTAAAGGCCTGGTAAAGGAAACAAATAATAGCTAAAACAATAGCAATGACTAACAAGAATTTTATTTTAACTAAGTACCAGGAACTTTCCCCACCCATGTTCTCAGTTATTCTCTTAAGTCCGTGTTATTCTCACATCATGAGAAAGTCAGGGTCAGTATGATTAAACAACTTGTGTAAATTCATGCAACAAGTAAGAGGCAAAACTGGGATTTTAATTTAAGTCAGTGTGACCCCAAGTCTACACTTAGATTCTACACTTGGTAAACATGAAGCATTTTCCTTTTCCATTGGAATTCAATAAAAGTGGTAGAATGAACAAGAAATGGCTGGGAGTGTTCTCCAAATAGGGATGAAAGGAAATCTGGGAATTTATTTGTTAATCATCTGCTCTTTTCCAGGTATTTGTATGGTGTCCTCTCCCAGCAACACCCCAATGACTGTGGGTAGAATAACCCCACAGTAATCAGTAGAAGAGCAGGGCATTGTACTCAGGTGTGAATGGCTTCAATCCTCTGACTTTCTGCTGTCTCATACTATCCCAAGCTATGACATGCTGAGGCCCTGAAATCTCCCAGGATAGGATCAAGGAAGTATACACAGATCAACACGCGCCACTGCCTTGAATGTTTCATATCAGCCGATCTAACTGCAGTTTTAGAATAAGACAATCCTTCTGTTTAATGGATTCTCCTTATCAGTGACTTCAGGGTTGGCTTTTTTTTGAGTGCCATAAAATGAAAAGGCTGTAAATAGAACAAAGTTAAAAATGAAAGATTCTAAGTAATAATGTGACTGAAACCTACCTGCAAAAACCTTGGGAAAAGATGGTTTGATTCAATGCCAACATATATGTGCAGCAACTCCAGGAGAGAAATGGATTGGCAAAGTCGCATGACAAGTCCAATAGCATAAAAAGTGTCAACCATTGAATCTGTCCAGTGGATAAAAAATACAAATAAAGTAAAAACCAGTTCATGATGCAAATCCATGCAGCTCTTTGAAATAAAGTTGAGATTATTTACCTCTTTTTATCGTACATGTAAAAAAAACTCTGTAAATAGGCTACTAAATTAAGTCTGCAATGCAAAGAAAGCACTTTGTATTGTAGTATACTTTGATCTCCTTCCAAAATGAAGTAAAAATGTAAGGTTTCACAGTGAAGGCTGCACTATTTATTCCCCATATATGAGATTATAAAGGAATTCCCACATAAAGGTAATCAGCTGGATTCTAAACCACCTGGAGCATAAATAGGTCAGAGGTGAGCTTCTAAGAGCTGTTGTGCTCAGCTTTTCCAATGATAAGAAAATGACCAAGATGAGGAAAAAATATTTCAGAGAAGCTTTATGGAAATGGCCCTAATGATGCTATGATATCAGATACTAAGTGTATAGAGCATGTGGTTCCTATATGTACCTGCCTCGTGTTTTCTGGATTTGTGCTAAACCCTGAATTTGGGTTCTGATCAGGACTTTTGGAGTTTACATTTCAGAGGGCTCAACTGAGGTACTGCCCTTGGAGTGGAAATGGAGGGGTAATAAATGTCCCTCTAAATAGGATGAATTTGGCTTTAAGTTTTAAAATGAAATCCTACCATTTTTTAGAAACTTCTAGGTGTGACTGTGCTGACTTTAGTACCTAGTGTTCGTTCAAACGGTAACTGATCAAGTGCCAAGGGTCTCTCAGCTGCTGCAGCAGTTGGACACTGTTAACATCACCCTGATTTCAGATTATGACCGATTCAGACCACCTACCCTCTTCTGCATTGACTGCACCTCTTGTGACCAAGCTATCAATGACACAGCTCTGTGGAGGAAGAGGGGAGGAGGAATCCCAAGTTCAGGGGTTCAGATTGCTGCTGAGCTATTTAAGTCATACACTGATTCAGGAATTATACGAAACCCCCACTCACATGTTCTCAGTCCCCCTTTCATATAAATCAGTTGTATTTCTTTAATGAGTAGCTACTGTAATTATAATGACATGATAATATTAAGAATAAACACTGCTGACCACAGCAACTTTCCCCTCTGGAAACGTGAGACAGAGCTAGAGTTCCTGGGGCCATGTATGGTGAATGACCTACAATAATACTCCCACACAGCCTCAACTTTCAAGGCCTGGACTGATGGCTTTTTTTTATTATAAACATCAAGGGAGTTTTCCCATCACCTCCGTTTTCCTCTGCTTGCAAACTCTCAACGCTCATAGTTGAAATTCAAGCCTCAGGTTGTATCCTTGACATTAATTCACAAAGGCAAGAATTCATCTGTAGATTTTTGTAAGAAAAAGCAACATCAAATGGCTTATGGTATCTCAGAAGTCGATTAATTTCCTTATGATACAGAATTGATGAGCACAGCACGGCATGTTTGTTTTTTAGCTGAAACCAGCAGTTGCTCAAACTGTCAAGTCACCCAACAGTTGTAAACTGTGATGACACTTACTCATGTGGGGATGGAACATGAAGAGAATGTTATTGACAGTCATTTAATGATTCATTCTTTAAAAAAAAAAAAAGAAGAAGAATTGAAATGCTCTTTGCTCTTTTAAAACCGTATTTTTACTTTTTAGGAAAAGCGAGGAAGCTTATGATTTAAGCCATTATTGCCACCTTCCAGTTAGGTGATTAGTCATCTACAAAGCATGTCATTTATACACTACTTAGGAAGGGGGTCAAATAGACTCCTGGGGAGTATAAAGTTTGTTACTCACTTACTAATTTCCAGTTAAACCTAAGGAATAAAAAAACAGTGGAAGAATTTGATTAACTCCTGGTTGCTCCGCATAAAATGCAATACTGGAATTTATAGATTTCCTCAGTGCACACTGAATTTGTGAGGGTTTGATGAAGAACCAAAAGAAATGGTGAAATGGCATTTCTGCCTAATCAGAGCCAAATCCCTTTCCCTTATCCCATCTCCTCCCTTTTCCAAAAAGTTTTTGATTTTTTAATAAGCAGGATGTATGATTTTTGAAAAACATGAATTTTAGAGAAGTGGAGGATGGTAGGTGAGCTCCAGAGAAATTTAAAATTAATATAAGCAACTCTAGGCAAAAACAAGGTGCAAAAGTTTAAGATAAACTGAGTTTTACCTTTTCCAAATGAAAAGAATCTGACTGTCATATTTGTAAGTATCCATGAGTGGCCACAGAACTGGATTAAATAATAGATGAAAAGATAGGCAGTCTTTCTATACCTATAAATACAGGAAAATACCATGAAACACTTGTTCTATTATTAACCTTTACATCATTGTACATAGGTCCTTTAACATATTGGTCAACCTGACCAGCAAAAATGAAACAAAACAAAAAAACAACAACCCCAAAACCTGTCATCAGAGTATTTTAATCAGTTGCCCCACAAAACACATCAGATTTTAAAGGGACCCATATCATGTACTATCTGCTAAAGTGAGAATATTGAGTCTGCTTAAAACCAAATAAAGATCTTTTTTGATTTTCATCTTTGATAAAATTCTAACCTTGCGGCTAACCCAGGAGTAAAAGCAACATCTTCAAAGATAGCTTTGAATATTTGGTGTGGTGGTGGTGGGGGAGGGCAGAAGGATTGATATGTTCAATGTGTGCTCCAGAAGCTCAGCCTGCTAAGCGCAGAACTTAACTGGGTTATACTTGTGAGCAGGGAGTAGTAATGGCCACTGTCTTAAATGGTGGATAATTCAGTAATTGGGCACACGGGACCTCTGAATGCATTATGCGATTGGGGTCAGTATCTTGCCACTGCCTTCTATTGTATTTTGCAAGGGCAGATCGTTTCCTTCATCAGACACACATAGATGTTTAGTTGCTCATGCCAAAAAAGGGAAGTCAAGCTGGGTTTAAAAATGTGTTGTGGGTTGCTGGGGAGATGACTAAGGGAAGATTGACAGATGCACGATAAGAGGGAGTTTGAGAAAGCATTGTTTGACGTGTTCCCTGGGGGTTTCGAAGGATGATGGGCGTGGCCTTGCCAGTGCAGACAGGGTTTTCTCCAAGTGGGAGATGTGAAACCTCTGAGAAACAAGGTAAATTAGCTGAGGAGCATGCCAAGTCCCTGGATGATCAACACATGACGTAACTAAAGGGGCTGAACAGAGGAAATCCTCCAAGTTGCCTCAGAATCACCTGGCTTATGGGTTAAAAATACACTGGGCCTTACCCTTTCCTATTGCACCGAATCAATTTCCCTGGAATCACACGTGTGATAGGTGTTTCAGTAAGATTAAAACTCCCCCTGCAACACTTGCCCTACCACAAAGTCAAGGGCAGGGCTCTTGGTGGGAGTAAAGAGGAAGGGCAGAGGGACTGGCAGAAAGAGCCCAAAGGGAAGAGGTGGCCACACAGCCTGTCCTTCCCATTTCCTCATCTCAAAAATGGGGAAAAGAGAGCCTTCTTCCTAGGACTGTCAAGAGAATTAATTATGAATAATACCTGTCTAGAGCTCCAGGGAGTGCGGGCCAGTAGGTGTGGGTGTCGCAGCTGGGCTGCTGGGTGTCCCCCACTGCTAGATCCCCCGCCTCTACCGGCGGCGCTCCTCCCGCCCGGCCCCTCCTGTCCCCTCCCACCTCTGTGCACCCTACCTGGGCTGCAGCCAGGCAGGCAGCGCCATGGGCCTCCACCACCAGGACCTCCAGCGCCGTCCGGGAAGGAGCCTGGGCGGGGAGGCGCGAGGGGGCGGCCGCTGCGGGCGTGGAAGGGCGGGGCCTCTCCACACTCAACAATTTACAAAAAGAAAAACCAGAGGTCCTGCGATGGGCAGCAGATTAAAAACTTCAGTTCCTGCAGCGCAGCACTAGGAAGCGCTGGCAGGGAGTGGAAAGTGTGGGAGACTGCAGCCAGCCAGGCTCAGGAGCAACCTGGGTCAAACACATCTGCATTCCCAGCGGGCTTGACCGCTCTGGTTACAAGCTCCCAATCTATGGGTTGAGACCCATTTGCTAACCCCGTGGAGATTTACACACCTGGGAGACTTTGGGGGCTTTGAAACATGCTGAAGGCCATCTCAAAGCCTCCGGGATGCGTGCATCCTGGGTAGGCACCTTAATTACAACCTTCACAGGCCAGAAAGAAAGATGCGGTCACATCTCCCAACACCTTTTCCAAAAAGGTTCTTGACTTCTCCAAGAATCCGTCTTTGTCCATGAATATCCCAAGTCCTTCCTAATGCTTACAAATTTTTTATTGATGTTGTACTAATATCCCTCTCCTATGTCCAGCACTTGTAAACCTTCTACTGAGCTCTCAGTACTATGGCATTATCATCTCCATATGCAGATGGTCCATCTCATACCTTGCTGATAAGATCTTATCAGAACCATCTTACAGCTACTCTGTCCAGTCAGGGAAACAGGCCAAAACAGAACAACAAAAACAAAGAAACAGACAAGTTAGTACAACAACTTGTTGCAAGTTAGTACCAATAACATTCAGTTACTGTGGGTGGAAGGAGTGTCCCCATTTTATGGGAAGGGAAGTTGAGTCTTGAAAATGTTGCCCCCACTGATAAATGACAGTATTCATAAAAGGTCAGTTTATTTTATTTTTTAATTATTAGGACTTAGTTTTCTTCCTTATAGTCAAGTCACTAGTCACCTCTCACATCTGCAGTTCTCTGCACCTTCAGCCAGCCCCTGCCTTCAGCCCCCTACATCTACCAGTCCCTTCTTAAACCCTATCAGTTGTTACCTCTGCCACTTGTTTTTTGTTTTGTTTTGTTTTTTTCATTCTCCTCTTTCTATCGGCTTTCATCAGTTTAGGAACATACTCAAATCTTTTACCCTAGAATTAAACATTTATTCTGCTCCTCTCCTAATGCAACGTTCCCATAATTCCCCGCCTGCTGTCTCTGTGAGACATTCCTTTCATTCCTTACCATCCTCTTATTCCATAACACCTTACAATTTGACTTCCCGACTCTCTTCTGGAACTGCTCTCCAGGGCCCTCAAATCCCCATCCTGTTTCCCTCTGCTAAATGACCCCACAGTCCTTGCTTTTGGGGAGCGTTAGATCTAAAGAGCAAACAGATACCCAAGCAAACACTGGTGGATAACCCATTACCAAGGTCATTGATGCCCAGGTCAAGCAACAAGAGAAAGTCAGTCCCAGACGACCGGGAGTGTAGAGGGAAGAAGGTAAGTTGCCCAGAAAAAGCAGTCCTTTGCCACCAAACACAGCCCTGGCATCCACATCATCATCCTCCTCAACAAGTCTGCATTTTATGTTTTTTACCTCCCTTACTTTTACCTTAGCAACTCTGAAAGTTCTAGGCTGTTCTTTCTATCTCTGTAGGTGGCTCCCTTTCTCCTGCTCTTTTTCCTCAGAGATCTACCCTTGGTCAGTCATTCTTTTTTGGTCTGTCACCATGTTATCCTTCAGCACAGACACCCACCACCGTGGTTTTATCACCTCGCAGACAACTTCTGACTGTGTTATTGGCATCCTACTTCTTCTCTCAGTAACATCAGCTCTGGCCTTTGAACAACTTGTGGATGCTTCTTCATTTCTTCTACTTCCAATTCAATCTACTTAAAATAAGCTTAACGTTTTCTTCCAAATCGTTGTCTTATTTCCCCTTTTCCTAGCCACTTGGGTTTAAAATTTGGAAGACAATGTTGCATCTCCTGATGCAATCAAATTCTATTGATTCCATCCTTTCACGATCTCCTACCAATCACTAGGGTTCCACCTTCATTCCTTCTTTTTCAGTACCTGGCTGAGGAGCAACTGACCTCCTCAACTCCATTCTCTACATCAATACAACATGGACTTTCCTGGAGCATCATTTGGGTTATATCTTACTGTCGCACATAGGAAAAAAAAATCCTTTTTTTAGTTGCAAGATGAAAAACAAGCCAATCAATCATTAAACAAAAAATTCTTTCAAATCAAACAGGGAATTCTAATTTACTTCCTAACAAACAAGTACAAAGAGAGCTTTTGAAAGAACAGTCTGGATGGGAAGTGAAAATCTCCCTTTCTCCTGGCCAGGAGCCAGTGCACATCCCCCCAGGCTCCTCCCAGCATTCTCAGTGGGAGTCTCCTCCAGCTTCCCTACCCCTAATTTGGACTCCATGTATCTCTAGACTATTATGGGTTAGTTAAGAGCTGCAGGATTTATTACAACAGTTCCGACCCTAATCTTTTCTCCTAGCCAGAATTGTTTGCTGGCTCTCTGCTGCCTTCTACAGTGATATCTCACTTTGTTTCCAAGCCTGTCACATGGCTGACATCTCCTACCACCCTATTTTCCCACAAAAATTAGAGCAACTTGCTGTTCCGTGACCCCACCAGACATTCTCTCATTCTCTGGGCAATGAGTCTCTCTGAAACATTTATGTTACTTAGAATTTCTCCTCCTCCTCTTCCCTTTCTCACAACCCAATATTCACCTGTCAAAATTCCATTTATTCTTTTCAGACTTTCTCCAGAGCTTCCCACTGGGAGTCACACTGGGTTAATGTGTATCCACAATGAGACTTAGAGTATCACAGAGGTACTTGTGTGCTCAACTAGCTTACACATTCCAAGAGTGCTCTACTTCTAAGCAACAGTGAGAATTTTACAAGTTTCAACCTTTTAAAACAGTTTCTATTACCAAAAGTACAGTTTTGGGGAAGATCAAATGAGAAAGTATACAGATGAAAATGGACAATTACATCTAGTACAGTTGCCTGGCATGACAGGTGTCTATCAAAGCATCGAGTGGATGGGTATGAGTCTTCCTTTCCCCAAAATGTAATCAAAATAAAACAATATTCAGTGATTGTTAACATATGTATAGTGGACTTTCAATTATCTATTTGTATAGAAGAAGTCAGAGGCTAACACAGTTCAAATAACTGAATTAATATATTCTTAACTTTGGAAGGAATTTTTTAAATTATAGGAACATTTCAATTTTTTTTCCCCCATGGGAAAAGGTTTAAATTTTCTCATCGAAAAAAAGATCAACTAGACCACACATGGTAGAACACGCCTGAATCCCTGCATCCCAAGGGGCCAAGGCAGAAGGATGGCAAATTCAAAGTTAGCCTCAAACTTTGTGAGGCCCTAAGCAACTTAGAGAGACCCTGTCTAAAAAAAAAAAAAAAAAAAAAAAATAGAAAAGCGCTGGGGATGTAGCTCAGTGGTAGAGTGCCTCTGGGTTCAATCCCCAGTACAAACAAACAAACAAACAACAACAACCCTAGGTGACTAAAGTCTTGAAACATTTTTTCATGGTGGTAACAGACTGGCTCAAAAAATTTAAAAAATATGTAAGAATTAATAAAACAATTTACACAAGGATCTTCAGAGAAATTAAATCCTATGGCCGAAAGCTGTACTTTAGACACTTATCCATCCCTCCTTCCCTCCCCTCTATACATCTTTTTTCATTTTTCTCATCTCACTTCCTTGGCAATCTTACTTCTTAAATGAGTGCTTCATGTGATTTGCACCGAGAGCAGAGACAAGAACTGTATTACAGGGAACACATTACCCACTTTTTCTTCTATCAGTCAGAAATTGTTTTATAAGAAACAATTATACACTGATAACTGTCAATTCAAAATTTCTTGTTCATATTCATCACCGGGAATTTTGAATATTCACCCTTCTTCCAGTTGCAATCCTACAGCACAGATTAAAAATTTCACAGGATGCTAGATCACTACAGGACCTCAGAGATTCTATGATCCAGTCCATTTCACGTGTTCTTACCCTAATTTTTAGATAAAAAAACAAGGTTAAACTAGTTAAATAATTTTAACCAAGATCACAGCTAATTAAATGTTGCAACCAAGACTAGAACCTTAATCTGTCTCTAGATACTGAGTTCTTAACCATTATGCTATACTAATTTGTTTCATTTGATTGTTCAATATTTGTTGGAAACTATTGACCTTCTTTGTACTACATATAATAGTCAAATTTTAAGACTATGTAAAACCTAAAACCAAAAAACTTCCTGAAGAAAACACCAGAGAAAAGTCTTTGTGACTGGGTTAGGCAGAGATTTCTTAGATCTTTGATAGATACTTATTAGAGACTATATGGAACATTTAATATTTCTTAGCTACTTATGATATTCAAAAGATATTTTTCAATGAATAAAAAGACAAGTAATTGACTTGGAAAAGTATTTTTAAAACATATGATTGATAGAGGACTTGTATGCAGATATATGAAGAATTCTCAAAAGTCAATAAAGACAACCCAGTTTAAAAAAATGGGCAAAAAATTTGAACACAAGTTTCACCAAAGAAGTGTGAAAAAAACAAAAATTTGCCCCAAAATCATTATTCATAAGGGAAATGCAAACATAACACAATGAGATACCACAGTATACTTATTAGAATAGCTAGAACTGAAAAGACTCACAATCTCATATATTGAAGATGTGCTAAACCTGGAACTCTCACATACAACTTTAGAACTGTTCAAAATTAGATACAACCCAACATTTTATCAATAGATGACTGGATAAACAAAAAGTTCCATAACCGTGTGTGGAATATTACTCAGCAATAAAAAGGAAATTAGTCAT